CACCGCCACCTTGCCCGCAATCATCACATCTGTGGCCCGTTTGATGCCATCTATGAGGGACTCCCGGCAGCCATAGAGGTTGTCGAACTTGCTCTGAAAGGAGAGGGGCGAGGGGACGATGGGGGCAGGCAAGACCCTGAGGCCAGGCCTCCGAGCATCCCACAGGGCTGAGACTTGAGCCCACTGGGACTGTCAGCCTGGGCGGACCCCTAAGACTCCTCTCCACTAGACAAGGCCCCACCCACCATGTCCCTCCTCATCATCACCCTTAAGACTATCTCCCTGGCTGTTCCCTGCTGATCTAGAAGCCTTTCTGGGGCATCAATGCCCAGGGCAGGTTGCTGAGTCTAAGAACGTGCTTAACTTTAAAGCTCTTGACAACCAAAGCCACAATGTTCCTGAACAGCTACGATTCACTGTGCGGGTCTCCCTTCAATGCACTTACCACCCTCAGACTGCTGCCCCACCCCCCCTCAGGTAAGGGCTTCATGCCCCAGGCCATACCCTTCCCGGACACCCTTCAGAGATCCACTCCTAAGCTCACTGGGCACCAATGACCGGAGCGGACTCTACCCCAGGGCTCACCTTGGTGACGGAATCGTTGACATTGATGGCAGGCACCTTCAGTATCCCATTGGCCATCATCTTGTAGAGGTTGTGGACCCCGGTCGTGGTCTCCTCAGAGATGCCTCGGATGCCTGAACGAGAGGAAGAACATCAGAGAACACATCTCTACCCAAAGTCCTTTCACTCCCAGTCACTCCCATCTCTGTACCTGACTGTAAAGTCCACCGTCACCGAGGCCAGCAAAAGGGGAGGCGTCATCGGATGCCGTCCTATACAGAGTCCTACAGGCCTAATGACTCAACCTCCAGTGTCCTCCACCCACCACTGTGCCAGTGCCCGACACCATTCTTCCCCCAGTTACCCTGTCAGAGCCCACAACACCCTCAGGAGAAGGCTTCCTTCCTTTAGTTGTGGCTCGTTTTTCCTACCTCAGGGCCTTCTGTATTCAGCCTTGGCTTATGAACTCAGTCAGCTCTGCCCCCACCCCCAGCTACCCTGGCTTCACATCACAAGTCAGAAGGCAGCCTCCATGCCTGCAGGAACCTCCTGTCCCCAGTCCTATGGAGAATCTGCCGGGCCCATTCCTCATGTCTGTGAAGGAGCAGGCTCACGAGTACCCAGCCCACCCGCTTACCTGACAGAAGCTGTGGGTATTTGGTGTGGATGAGGTTGGTTAGGTCACCTCCATCGTCCAGGATCATGTTGAGGGGCCCGTCTTTGAAGTACAG